TTTTTTTTTTTTTTTTTCTCTGTGTGTGCCATCATGTATATCTGTCTGAGGGTGTTGGATCCTCTGGAACTGGAGTCACAGACAGTTGTGAGCTGCCATGTGGGTGCTGGGAATGGAATCTGGTTCCAATAGAAAAGACAGTCAGTGTGTGTGTGTGTGTGTGTGTGTGTGTGTGTGTGTGTGTCTGTACAGGAGGCCTGAGGTGGGGGCAAGCTGGGATGTATGCATAGGCTCTTGAATAGTTCAAATCTCTGTGTTTGATCTGTCATGTGCATGTGGTCTTTTGATTTTTTTCAATTCTCAAACTGGCCACATCCTTTTTTTTTAAAAAACTATTTTATTTTATAGGCTTATATCTGTGTGAGAGTGCCAGGTCACTTGGAACTGGAATTATAGACAGTTATGAATTACCACGTGGGTGCTAGGAGTTGAACCCAGGCCTTCTGGAAGAGCAGCCAGTACTCTTAACCTCTGAGCCATCTCTCCAGTCTCCATCAAACTGGCCACATCGTTTTCGATGTGGATAGAGAATATATCTGCTGAGCTGATTTTGTATTACCAGGAAACATGAATCTAGTCTACTACAACAACCTTTTTTGTAGGACTAGATGATAAGGTATTGTACCCATCTGGGCATAATTTTGTGGACATTTTATATGAGACAACGGATTCTGTAAGAGGATACTAAGAGTATCTTTTAAAGGAAACCTTTACACCTCTGAAAAGACAATTTCTAACTGGTTGGTGGTGGCACATGCCTTTAATCCTCCTCCCTTCAGGAGGCAGAGACAGTTGGATCTCTGTGTGTTCCAGGCCAGCCTGATCTATAGAGTGGGTTCCAGGACAGCCAAGGCTATACAGAGAAACCTTGTCTCAGCCCCCCTCCCCCCCCACACACACACAAAGAAAAAAAGAAAACGAAAGAAAAGAGAATTTTATTTTTATTTATTTATTTTTGTTTTTGTTTTTTGAGACAGGGTTTCTCTGAAGCTTTGGAGCCTGTCCTGGAACTAGCTCTTGTTGACCAGGCTGGCCTCGAACTCAGAGAGATCACCTGCCTCTGCCTCCCGAGTGCTGGGATTAAAGGTGTACACCACCACCACCTGGCAGAAAAGAGAATTTCTGTAAGCAGTACTGTGACTGAAGATTACTAAAATAGTAAGACTTAATACTCTTATTCATGGAAGAGCTACAACATTCATATGAATGTTAAATAGTTTTGTGAAATTATTTATCCACAGCCCTAAAATCTATTTTCTGAGCTCATATTCAGAAATATGAGAAAAACTTGGGAGAAAAACTAAAGACAAACTTTCCCTGAAAGCTGTAGGCCACCAGTAGAAGTCACCCTGCTTCTCTGCTTGCCTTTTAGATCTTGACTCTGAGATCCCAGGTCTTCGAATGACTTCCCCCAGCACTCTGTGGCCATTCTGGTACTTACTGTCTCTTTCTTTGGCTTTTGATTCATCGGTAGGTGCTCCTGTTTCCTGTGTCACACACGTAGGCTTTATCTCTCCCCTAGAGGGAATTTCGTAGCATTGGTGGTTTTCTTATTAGGATTAATTCTGTGATTTGCTGGATGTCCAGTATCTGCATGACAGCTGTATTTTTTTTTTAGATTTATTTATTATGTATCTGTTCTTTCTGCATGTCTGCATGCAGGCCAGAAGAGGGCACCAGATCTCATTATGGATGGTTGTGAACTCAGGACCTCTGGAAGAGCAGCCAGAGCTCTTGCCCTCTGAGCCATCTCTTCTGCACCCAGCCAGCTGTATTTTTATGTTACAGCTGCAACTATTTTCTAGTGCCTGAACTGCCTATCTCAGTGTTTACTACGTTCCAGACATTGTCCTCACAGGTTTTTTTTTTTTTTTTTTTTTTTTTTTTTTTTTTTTTTTTTTTTTTTTTTTTTTTTAAATATTTATTTATTATGTATACAATATTCTGTCAGTGTGTGTGCCTGCAGGCCAGAAGAGGGCACCAGACCTCATTACAGATGGTTGTGAGCCACCATGTGGTTGCCAGGAATTGAACTCAGGACCTTTGGAAGAGCAGGCAGTGCTCTTAACTGCTGAGCCATCTCTCCAGCCCTGTTTTTTGCTTTTTTGAGACAGGGTTTCTCTGTGGTTTTGGAGCCTGTCCTGGAACTAGCTCTTGTAGACCAGGCTGGCCTCAAACTCACAGAGAACCGCCTGCCTCTGCCTCCTGAGTGCTGGGATTGAAGGTGTGCGCCACCACTGCCTGGCTCAAAGTTCACTCTTTTTGTGTTTTGTTGCTGTACTTTATATTTTAAATTTTTCATTGTAAGGAGTGAAGGATACAGCTTGGTAGCACACCTGCAAAGCATATACAAAGCTATGGGTTAAATTCCCAGTATACTTAAACTATTCTGTAGGGAATTTTTTTCTCTCTCTCTTTTAATTTCCTTTCTTTGTTAATTTCAGTCAGGAATGCTATGTTTATATCATTTCAATTCTTCTTTCCCCTCCAGCTCCTCCCATGCCCCCTGATTCCTCACATTATTGACCTCTTTAATTATTAGTGTGTGTGCACGCCTGCTGAGTCCATACACTGTTGCTTGCCTGTATATGGGCTTAGGACCGACCTTCTGGGGTGACTTACCTATGGGAGGCTCATTTTTAGACAGGACTGATTTTTCCTCTTTCATTAATTGCCTATAACTCTTCTTTAAGGAGTAGCAGGATCTTGACTTTGGTGGGGGTTGCTTTGTTTTTTGTTTTGAGGCAAGTCTCACATAGTTAGGCTGCCCTTGAACTCTGCTATATGCCTGAGACTGGCTTTGAACTTGTTAATCCATCTTCCTAAATATTCCCGGATGCTGACAGAGCATGTCTGTGCCGCCATTTTCATTTTCTTTTCTTTCTTCTTTTGGGGGGTTTTTGTTTTTTTGTTTGTTTGTGGTTTTTTTTTTTTTTTTTTTTTTTTTTTTTTTTGTTTT